TTAATCTGTTATTATTGAATATTTCACAAATACATGATATCTTTTCATAATTTAATTTAGTGCTTCTAATTTTTCTAAAATGTAATAAATCATTGTTTCGTAATATTATTGTTATATATTTTACGAAACTATGTTACCTGATACTGTTAATTCATATACTATCCGCTATACTACCCTAACTCTACTCTACTCGATTTATCGGACAGCATTGAGTTGTCATAAATCATGAAAATATTAGATGTTGTATCTATCATATTTCTCGGCTCTGGTGAAACTAACTCGTACTTACTCCAACTCGAATTATCGTAAACAGCCTGTATTGCACTCTTTGCGCACTCTCCACCATCTCCACCGATTCACACCGCGCAAAAGAGAGTGGAGAAAAGTCACACGAGTGGTCCACGGAGTACGGTTTTCGAACGGCCATGGTTGCATGGTCAGTGTGCCCACTAGGGGTTTTCGAACGATCTGAGTGTGACAAAATACACACGGGTGATGTTTTCGAACGCACCCCTGTGTGCAGAAGCCATAACTTTACTCGAGCATCGGAAAGCAGTACTGAGTTGCTTGAACTATGAAGATACTAGATGGTTGTGCCTATTACATTTTTCGACTCTAGTGGAACTACTCGATTTAACGTAAACACCCTAAAGGGACGTCTACATTGGAAGTAAGCAGTAAGAAGTAGAAAGTAAGAATAAGAAATTGACCAATCATAGTTGATTATTCTTCTCACATTCGACTGTGGTTGGTCAATTTCTTACTCTTGCTTCCTACTTCTTGCTAAGACGTCCCTAAGGGACGTCTACATTGGAAGTAAATAGCAAGAAATAGGAAGTAAGAGTAAGAAATTGACCAACCACAGTCGAATGTGAGAAGCGCGACAGCCAATCAATATGTTGCTTTTCCGTAAGAGCTAGAAGGTTATTACGGAAAGCAGCATATTGATTGGCTGTCGCGCGAACTTCCGCCGCGCGGCAAGCATTACCGCGTCCTGTGTGCAGAAACCATTAAGTCTTTATGTCTTAAGGTGCAAATACGGTTCTGTGATTCGTTCATGATATCTTAAGACAGTACTTAAGATGATCTTAAATATAAGATCCGACTATGAATATCGGCCCTAGGTAGTGATCTTTTGCGAAATCTTTTGCGTGATCTTCATTTTCATTTTTCACTTTTCACTGTGTTATTTTACATGAAAAGTAAACAATGAAAATGTGGAAAGCAATATTTATGTAATATAGATTATTAAAATTAAAATGTAATTACAGTATACACAATGTAATATATAACACATTAATAAGCATTATACAACTTAAATTTATAGTTATAATATAATATAATAATACAATATGAGTAAATTTAATAAATGAGACGAACGTTAACCGTGAAAGGTGAATTCTCAAAACGTGAAATATTTCACGTGAACTTTCTGTTTGCTCGTATATGTTCTTCTTTACATGTAAATTGTGTAAGTTTCCATGAAAATTTTTAAGCATCAAGCGATGTGGTGTAAATATGAAAAATAATATAATACTACACTCGCATATTATGTACAAAGTGAGTAGAATTTCTTATAGTGACTTTAATTTTTATGGTTACACGACAATTGGCATTTGACATAAGAATCCTACATCCATTAAAAATAAACAACGAAAGCCAATTGAAGCGTGATAACAGGGAGCGGTGCACTTGGACACGGTGCATTTGGACACAGCCAATCACAGCACCGTGTGATTAGAGACATTTGTAGGGTCCCTTGGAACAGCGACTTGTGATTGGACTGTGTCCAATTGCCCCGTGTCCAACTGATATACACCCGATAACATATAGGCAGTGAAAGCATACCGACGAAGTTTGCAAAGTTAAGATACGTATGCATCAGAAAGTTAAAGTGTAATATATTATAAATTGTATGCAGTAAGTAAAATATAAGTTTATTTTATGTATTTATTGCATGTATTTTATGTATTATTTTATATGAAATATATATTTTTTGCAGATTTATAATTTTAATATGAATAGAATATTTTATCTTTTAATAATTTATCCTAAAGTAATCCCAGACAAGCAGACTTCCAAGGGACGTTTTAAAGACATCACTATGTCTTAAAAACACGCTGAAGAAATTCTAAAGATGTCCATTGCAAATTGATATTGTCTTAAGTATATTGTAATATTTATTTTACTTACAAATTCACATTAAATCTTTCATTTTTCACGAGTTTAGTGAAGGTTTTCATCTTTCACGAGTTTATTACAAAATTTTCACTTTTCATGGGTTCACACTAGGGGAAAAGATTTATGATCGCTACCCAGGGCTGCGTTCAGAAACCCTACTCTGTGAGTAGAGTAACATTTATAGCGTTTTTCATTGGCAGAACTGGTGCGCACTGATTGCGCACTAAGGCTTGTTTACAATACATTTTCATATTTAAGATCGTGTCTTAATACATATTTAAAAATATTTTAGGTAATAAAATAATTCGTACGGATGTCATATTATATTACTGGTTAAAAATATTTGAGAATTTATTTAAGACAATCTTTCAATATAATAACATACTGTGAACAAGCCTTAGTGCGCACTTAATGAATCTGCCAATGAAAAACGCTATTAATTAGCTAATAAGAGCAAAAGAAATTAAGATTTTTTTATTATGATTGGTTTATTAAAGTAATTCTACCCATCGAGTAGGATTTTTGAACATAGCTCAGGAGGAATCGGAGAAACTGATACTATCATTATAGAACGTTGGGATACAGAGTGTACAAGAGATCATTGAGGCGGCCTTCAAATCCTATACTTCTCCTTTTAAATCCATACTTATTTTCCTAAGAAATACAAATAAGAGCGTTCGAAAACAAAAGGATCTATTATCTTAAACATCTCTAGGGTTATAAATAACCCTTAATTTTCCAAACATTGAAAATGGTGAAAGGTTCTGAAGAGGGCTGCGTTCAGATTCCCCACACGGGTGTATTCTATTACTAGAAATGTTATAGTATATGTAACATATACTATAGTGTTTCTACTGATAGAGTGCACCCGGATGAGGAATCTGAACGTACCATAGAAGAACTGTATACTAATTCGGAAGGAAGGAAGGAAGGATATATTTTAGGTTATTTTTAAAAGCTTATAAAATTCATCTTTTAAATATATACTTAGAACGTTAACACACGGATGAATGATCTTTCAGTAGAGGATTTTTTACTTCGTTATCCAAAAAGAAGAAGTAGCTAAGGACTGTACCACGTGTTGATAAGTTTGGTTAAGTTACACTTTTTCGTGCATCGAATAAACTACAATCAAATATGGGCAAAAGCAAAGGGTAATACAATATATTATTATTTAAATTTAGTAGATAAGATTTAAACGCGTAAACTATAACAAGACTATAATTGTATGCATAATATACTGGTTTTTAATTATCGAACTTTAAACATTGATTGTTTGATAAATTTGCAAACTGTTATTTTCCTTGTCAAAACAGTATAATTAATTAATTAACAATGAAAAAAAAATTAAAATAACCACGCGAAATTAGGAAAAGATAACATACATTTGATACTTTCTGTACTGTACTATAAGAACAGAAAACCATATATATTTTTCTATTTTTTTACAAATAGAATATGACTAATATTTTCATAATATAATATGTATCATTTTTTGCTGTTAGAAAAAAGAAACCTCTTGTTGATGAGGATATCAATGATACAGATATCGAGCATATGGATATGGAAACTGTGACAGACTCAGAAGAGGAATATACAGAAGCTGAGAGAAAGTTGCTAGAAAAAGTACGAAAAGGACGTACTCCTGAAAATTTTGACAGTGATGATGAAGTCTATGGATTGCAAGATGAAACTGAGAATGAGGAAGATGATCTACAAGATTCAGTGGAATCTGATATTGAAGAATTACAAGAGGACAATGATATACCAGATGACAGGGCTTGGGGCAGAAAAACGAAAAATTTCTACTCATCGGATTACAGATATACGGATTATTCATCAGCAACTCAAAAAGACTTTGCCAATGCAGAAATGGAACAGCACGAAGCGAAGAAACTTCACACAAGATCAGCTGATGAGATTTTTGATATCATCGATGACAGATTCGTACAACTTACTAAGGATAATAAAGATCAAGAAGACAATAGGCAAACTTTAGAATTCAATAAGTCGAGCAAGAAGCACCAAGAGATGCTCGCACAAAAGGAATCCAGAGCATTTACAGTTCTAGTCATGGATTTTAAAGGTATTAATTGATAACTATTTATATTATTTTATTCTCAATTAAACCTGTCAATTCAATTAGTTCTAGTTCTAGTTTTTCAATTAAAACCTTTTAATTGAAGATATTAATCTTTCTTGATTTACATATTGATCTCTGACCAAAAGAGAGTCACAAAATCGATACTTTCTTGAAATCATAAATATTATTATGTACAAGCAGAACGTTTTAAATAGAAACTAAAGTTCATATCAAAGGTAAACTTTTAATACATGCCATTTCCATTAATTAAAAATTAATCGCACAAAAACCTAGTATGAGCCTGTCTGCGTTTAGTAAAAAAATTCACAGCTGTTGTGAAATTCGTGAATTAGATTGGTCTTAATTTTGACAATCTAAAAGCATATACCAGTAAGTAAGATTCATAACAGTTGCAGAGCAACATTCTCTGTTGAACACAGTTGTCATATGTTAGAAAATCACATAAATTAATGAAGATTAAGACACCTGTTTCTTCACTGCAGTCGCCTTAATTTATGACGGTAGAAGCGACGAAATATATTTAAAATGCAAAAAGCTCCATGCAAGAAACATTAAAATGAAATGAAATAGTTTGTTAAAAAAATGACATTTGCAATCAATCTGTAAAATAGTCCAGATATTTTTCTTTTACTCTAACAATCAATAAATAACTATAAAATTAATATGATACAATCATAAGAAAGGATAGATCAAAAGATAAATTGTATGTCATGTTAATTTTATGGTAATTTATTGATTGTTGTAGAAGAATGTTATTTTAGAAATATGTCCGACCGATTACAAGTATAATTTTATAAATATATCTTTTTATTTCAATGTATTTCATGTTTTGCAAACAATTTTTAAGATGTACATTTTCATAGAGCCTTAAGTAAATAATTTTATTTATTACAGAGCGTATGACAGAGGTGAAGGAGATCTTGACACCTTTCCTCAAACTGGTTGAAGATGGTACTTGTCTTGATTGTGACGCGGTTACCTTCATCAAAACTAAATATCATCTTATATTAAACTATTGTATCAACATCACCTTCTACTTGATGCTGAAAGCTAAGGGGTTATCAACACAATCGCATCCAGTTATCAAGCGGCTAGAACAGTATCGTCAGTTGCTCAGTCAATTACAGTCAGGAGAGGGAAATTTGTTAAAAGAAGTGGCAACAATAGTCAATGCGGCTAAAGAGGGCAAACCCCTTTACAGCGTATCAGATGGTTCTCAAAGACCAATTAAGAAGAAAACTTTGAAATCTGACAGCTTCAGTAAAATATTGATACGTCAAAAAGAGATGATGATGCGAGAAGAGTTACTCGATAACACAGATATCAGTGAAGAATTTATAGATGAAAATAATTTCGATACAGAGAAAAATTACGATGATAAAGACAAAGGAGATGAAGAGGATAAAGCTATGACCATCGAAGAAGAAAAAAGAGCGATAACGTATCAAATGGCAAAGAACAGAGGTCTCACGCCTTACCGTAAAAAGGAGTTACGTAATCCACGAGTGAAGCACAGAAATAAATACCGTAAAGCTAAAATCCGCAGAAGAGGCGCGGTATGTATTATGAAATACGATGGAGTAATACTTATTATATACATTTATATGATCTTAGATAGTTTACACAAAAATATTATTTCTTACAGGTAAAAGAAGTAAGGAAAGAATTGACTCGTTACGCAGGAGAGATCTCTGGTATTAAAGCGGGTGTTAAGAAAAGCATTAAATTGAAATAAAAACCAAATTTTGATTACAAATATTATTTTATAGATATATCATTTTTCTTCAACATATTTTGCAAAAATTTTTAAGTTATACATTTTCACTTCTGATATCACTAATCAAAAGTTTTGCGCTGACAAACGAGGAGCCTTAAGTGTATATAATAATAATAGTAATTGTATATAAAGTATCATAATAATTGTAATAAAACATATAATAATTATTATTATGTTTATTACAATCCAGACAGCACAAGACATTTTCAGGATCATCTTGAATTTGTCCTTGGACATTCTCGGATATTTAATATATGCACATTGGACGCGTTCAGTGGAGCATCAACTCCAGCGGAAAAAGCGCTCAGTGAGCAATCAGCGATTATTAGTTCTTACTGTTAGATCCCTAAATTTAGACCAATTACATTGACGAATTGCTCAATTATTGTGCAACTGTTGAGTTCGCTAAACGCACCCATTGATATAGGACATTGATATATGCACAGGATATCCTGGGGACATCCTTAAGACGTCATGTGCAGAACATTTTTAGAATATTCTTAGAACTTCCTGGGGACATTCTTGTAGGACAGTTTCAGCATTTCTGCGAGATATATTATAAATATTTTTCATGTGTGTGTACAGAAATTCTATAAATTTTGTCTCATTTTCTAGCTCAGTGATTTCAAATTTGTGGTTGAAACCACAATAATATTACAAATTTTTCAAATTATAAATTCCTCGAATAATTTACAGTTATTAGGGTTGATGCTCCATTTGTGGCCACTTTAAGGATTTTCAAAGAAATAAACGCGTTTTAATTAAATTCTCTTCGTTATCTAATGCCTTTAATTATTTTAATATATTCTTAAGAATCTTTAAATAATAAATTTAAGACCGATAAGCAAAATAAATTAAACACATTTTAAAAAAATAATACTTATGTCATAATTTCCGATTTCACCGTTTTTAGCCAGCATAACACCAGTTCTTGCCATAATAAATACCTGTTCTGGCCACGTAATAAAATTGAGATTAATTTATAATGAAACAATAAAAAAGTATACGCAATAAAAATCATTACTTAATGTTAATATCTTAATGTTAATATTTATTTTCAATAAGATATATACAGAGTGAGTAAAAATATCTCGAAAACTAAGCATTTCCGAAAAAAATGTTTCCTACAAAAGTTGTAGGCCCATATTCTGAATCTTCTTTTATCGATAAAAGTGTCTAAAATGTAGCTTCTCAGTCAATCAAGTGGCTCCTAAGCCTCTTTTAAGTTAGTCTCATTTATAGCCTCTCATTTATCGTTAAAAGAGAACTCGGAATACGGGCCGTCGGATTTTAAATGATCTAAGCCGGTATTCACACATAGTCCGATCTTATATTTAAGATTATCTTAAGTACTGTCTTAAGATGTCATGAACCAATCACAGAGCCGTATTCACATCTTAAGGGGAGATATACACCTAGCATGGTCGAAAAAATCGATTTTTTTTTTTGCATTTTCTTGATGCTTGAGGTCTCAAGAATATCTGGTTAAAATTGCAAGTCAATATCTCGATAAATAACGAAGTTACAGCCGAGAGAGTAAACCGTCTCCGAGAGCGCGCCGTACCGCCTGTTTTGCGGCCGAGCCGAGAGGCAGCGACCCTTCGAAGAGAGCGTGTCTAGACCTGTTTTACGATTCTATTGTGTTTTCGGGCGTGGTCGGGTCCAGGTATAACGGAAATATCACACGACCGTTATTCTTTGCCGGAAATTGGACGCGTTTCGTCAGTAGCTTGCCGTTCGTGCAACTGTGCGTTACAGTGAGTTTTCGTCTGTGAATACATATTCTGAGGAAAATGGATAACAGATATAAAGGTTCTCGGGAAGCTCATCAATCCGGATCTTTTCGCAAAGATCGAAGCAAGAAGAAGATACCGCCCAAAAATCGAAATACTGCCGAAAAAGTAGAACTTTCCGACGAGAATATTAGTTCCAGTGCCAAAAAATTGAAGACTGATCGTGAGACATCCGCACCAGAAGATCCAAACATCGGGTATCGAATTTTGAATTTTCTGGCAGTGTTTTCTGCCTTATCGGAATGTGTAAAATGCAAAAAGGATACACACAAAACAGCAATGAGAGCTTCAACCAACTTATTTGGAAGATAGCTCCAAAAACGATGCACAGCGGGGCCAAAATTGTTAACATTGCTGCATTTCTTGCAACATGCACGTTCAACAATGGTGTCACGTCATTGTTAGAAATTATGAACGTATTAGGAATATCAGTCGGATCGGGCGCGCACTTGTACGCTGCGCAAGAAGACGAAACTCGCATAGCGAAAGCCGAGCTGCAAGCGCAAGAACAGACTAAAGAAGGTCGAATACGGCGCCGACAACAAAATTTAGAAAATATGAACATTCCGTCGACCGTAGAAGACTTACACTATGGGCCTGGTATCGATGATTCCATGTAAGTTGACAAATTTAATGATTTATTCATTCCCAAATTTTCAAACGCGTTTTTCTCAAAACCACGTTTTTCAAATCGGTACCCAAAATTTCTCGAAAACCAATGAACCGATTGCCTTGAATTTTTTATGGTTATTCTATACATCATTATCTAGTACTTGTCATAGGATTTTTTTTTTTCGTTGCTTAGTTTTTGTTTTATAGGCAAAATAATAACTAATTTTTGGTCGAAAAATCGCTATGTTATGTTCAAACGTTGACAATCAAAAATTGACGAGGTTGTGGTATAATCTTTGGAGCGCCGTAAAAAAATCCGGGTAAACGGTACCCACTGGCGTTTCTTCAAAAATCATCTGAAACAAAAAAACCAAAAAGATTATTA